CAGTTGTGGCGCGGATATGAGGAAGAAAGGATAGCTCAGGGTCGAACAGAACCCCGAGGTTCCTGACTGGCTTTGAGAGGTGGAGAGTGCAGCCTTGGATGCTGATGCTGTCAGCGCCTGAGGTGCAGAGGCGCTGACGTGAGCCAATCAGGAGGGCCTCAGTTTTTCGCACGTTGAGCTGAAGAAAGTTGTCTCTCGTCCAGGACCTGATTTCAGACAGGCAGACTGTCAGGACATCGGTGGTCTAGGAGTTGAGGGTAGAGGAGGAGAGGTAGAGTTGGGTGTCATCCACATACATGTGGAAGTTATCCCCATGTCTGCGGATGATGTCACCAAGGGGGAGCATATAGAGGGTGAAGAGGAGGGGACCGTGGACTGAGCCCTGAGGGACACCACACGAGACAGTGCGGGGGGTGGAGGAAAAGCCGTTTGCGGAAATAAAATTAAGACGGTGGGAGAGGTACGACCTAAACCACTCAAGGACAGGGCGTTGAAGATTGAGGTGGGAGGACAAGCAGTGGAGCAGGATAGCGTGGTCGAGGAAGACGAGGAGGCAGAGGGAGTCCTGGTCGCAGATGGTCAAGGTGTCATTGGTGATCTTGACCAGGGCAGTTTCTGTGCTATGGGCAGCACGGAAACCCGACTGAAGGGGTTCGAATAATGCATGGGTGGAGAGGAAAGAGTGAAGCTGGGAGGCAACAACTCTTTCAAGGACCTTAGACAGGAAGGGGAGGTTGGAGATGGGTCGGTAGCTTGAAAGCTGCGACGCATCAAGGGAGGGTTTTTTTCAAAGTGGGAGTGATAGTGGCAGTTTTTAGGGGAATGGGAACAGAGCCACAGGTGAGGGATAGGTTGATGATGTCTGTGAGAAGTGGGGCAAGGAGGTGGAGCTGAGAGATAAGGAGTGGAGTGGGGATGGGGTCAAGGGAGCAGGTGGTGGGTTTCAGAGACAGGATGAGTTTGGTGACAGAAGGTGGGGAAACGCGTTCAAAGGTGTGTCAGGGAGGATCGGTGGGAGTCGGAGTGTGGGAGTGAAGTGGTGTGGGTTGGGTGGAAGTTGGAGGGGGAGTGACCGCAGAGCGGATTTCCTTGATTTTGGATTCAAGGAAATCCAGCATCTCCTCGCAGTGAAGGTTGGAGGAGATGACCTGCGCGGGGTGGTGTAGGGGACGGAGGAGTCGGGATGTGGTAGAGAACAGAATCCTGGGGTTGTTCTTCGCCTCCAGGATTATCCTGGAGTAGAAGGACGACTTGGCTGAGGCTAGAGTGGAGCGGTAGATTTTGAGGAGGTCCAGCCAGATTTGTCGGTGGACCGTTAGGCCAGATTTGAGGCAGGTGCGTTCAGCGGCCCGCACCTGGCTCGTCAGTGAGCGGAGGTGGGTGGTGAACCAGGGGTAGGAGCGAAAGTAGGAGAGGTACGTGAGGTGATGGGGGCAAGAGTGTCGAGTGTGGAGGAGAGGGTGTTGTGGAGGAGGGTGAGAGCAGAAGAGGGGTCAGTGAGGGTTGAACGCCAGAGGGAGAGGAGTTCAGAGGACTCCAAGGCAGCGGTTACGGATTGTGGGGGTAACTTCTTCCAGGGTCGGTAGAAGATGGTGGTGGGTCTGGAGGTGGAGAGAGGGGCGGAGGTGGTGAAGGAGATGAAGTGGTGATCGGAGACGGCCTTGTCGGTAATGGTGACATCCGAGAAACTGAGGCCCCGGGTGATCACCAAATCGAGTGGGTGGCCGTGACTGTGAGTGGCGGAGTTGATATGGAGGGAAAGGTTGAGTAAGGAGAGCAGGGAGGAGAAGTCCGAGGAGATGGAGCAGGAGGGGGTGAAATGCAGGTTGAAGTCGCCCAGGATGATGAGGCGATCAGAGCAGAGGCGGAGACTTGTTAGTAGGGTAGAAATATCGGAGATGAAGGTGGGAGAGGTTTTAGGGGTCCGGTAGAGGAGGAGGATTTTGAGTGAGAGGAAGGAGGGGTGGGAGAGGGTGAGGTGCTCAAAAGAGGAGAAAGAGCCAGAGGAGTAGGGGGATAGGGCAAGTGGTGTCCTTGAGATAAGGGCTACACCACCGCCACGACAGTTGGGGCGAGGGATGTGGTGGGAGGTGTAGCCGGGTCGTGTCACCTCCGTGACGGGGAAGGTGTCGCCTGGGATGAGCCAGGTTTCCCTTAATGCTATGATGTCAACGCTCTCATCAAGGATGAGATCGTTGATGACCAGGGTCTTGTTACAGAGGGAGCGGACGTTTTGTAGTCCGATGTGGAGGGAGTGGTTGACAGAAGGGTGTGTGAGGAGGGAGGGGGGTCCAGGTTGTGAGGCAGGGGTGGGGGGAATGGGGATGAGGGAGGAGAGGTTGGCTCCCCGGGTCTGTGTCCGGGGTGGGTGGCGAGTGTGGTGGGGAATGGGGCAGTCGGTGTGGCTGCTGCTGGACAGCCAACGCCGAGTGTCACGGTGAACCCGGCGGAGGATTCCCAGGCTGGAACAGAGGGAGGTTGTGGGAGGGTCAAGTGGGGATAGAAGGCGAGGAGGACGGAGAGAGAGGAGGACATAGCAGGAGAGATGCAGAGGGGGGAGGGTTTGGGGGGAGAGAGGAGGGGGGAGGGAGGGGATGAGGGTCAGAGCGGTAGCCATATTGTGCACGCGGGGACCGGGAGCGAACGGTCAGATGGATGGCATTAGCCCATAGGCTGGGGCTGGGGCAGCCAACCCAACAGGACTAGCTGAAGCGGCACAGTTTACTGTTACAAACACTGTCTGGTAAGCTTCCCACTGCTTGTCCACACCACTTGTTAACTGGTGGCTTCCAGGGTTACAAAAATCCCTGCCCCCCCCCACCCCCCAGGGACTGGCCTGCCCTTTCATGTCTGGCATGTATCAGTCTGACTGGTCTGCCATGAGTCAGCAATGCTTTGGAGTATTGCTTACCTGACTGTCTGAGGAAGCAACCAGACTGCTCAGACCATCAATGAGAATTGACCTAATTCCAAACTACTTCACCTTGAAGCCATAATAGTCTCAAGGAGACTCAATTTACCTGACCTAAGGAGAGAATACACCAGTCTCAGAAAAATCAGTTCAGTAAGAATGAAAACTTCCTACCGTTAGACGAAAAGGAAATGTGAAGAAGAAACCTATTGCATTGTGTCCAAGGAAATATACTATCATTGAAGTAAAATGGAAAATTGCTTTTACATCTTCAGAGCAAGTGTTCTGTAGCCTATGAAGGAACCAACTTATGAATTGGCTGTAACAGAGGCGCTCATTTCTGAATAATTGAAAGATTGTATAGAAGTAAAGTATAGTGATAATAATAGAATCAAACAAGATGGGAATCTGGATTGATTCTAATGATTTAAATTGAATAATTAAGAGATTCTATTATCTACCTCAAAGAACTGAAGAAATTACCATACAATTCAGCAAAGCCTGATTGTCTGTTCAAGATCTCATAAATGTGTTTTGGCAAGTTAAGTGGGTCAACAATTCCAGTTTATAGACAAGCCTCAATAGTCCATTTGGAAGGCATTGGTGGCTGCACACGCTGTTTGTCATTAAATTAGTTTCAATTATTAAAGGTAATTGATGAGACTCTTAAGAGTGGATGTCATTGTAGATAACATTTCAGTTTATGAAGAAAGAGCTGATCCTAAAAGCACCATAGCAAACTAGAAGGAGCTCTGCAACCTGCTTGAGAGACCAATAAGGGAGAGAGAGAAGCCTGAGACAAGAAGAGTCTTAATTTGCATCATACAGAAGTGCTATCTATGCACTTGCAGCTAGTTAACTACTGATGGATTTGAACCTGATCTAAAGACAATTTAAGTTTCCTGGAGTTATCTGACTTAAAATGTATCTAGTCAAATATTTGGGGGGGGAATGACTTTTACATTTTTGGACACATTTGTCAACTGTAACTGAATCTTTAGAAATTAAAGATGTGGAATTTGTTGGATAGATAACCCTGACTAAGTAGCTATTCAGGGGGAGAGGGTGATAATCACATCGTATTCAGTTCTTAGATGTCACAGGAATAAGTGCAGGTTATTTTGCTCTTTGAGCTTCCTCTATCATTAAGTCTATGACAATTCTTTGATTCACTCGACTTTGTATTAATTGCCTCCTGAGACAGCGCATTTCATGTTCTTATGACCTTTATGTGAAGATTTTATTTTGCTGGACTTCGTTTACACCAGCTTAATTCTAAATTTAAAGTTATGAAACCTGTGAAGCTATGATCCAAAGGTGGATGTCAATTCCAGTGTGAACCTGTACATGGGAAGGTGGGAATGTAGAGGAATGGAAAATATCATTGCAGTTCATCTGGGTGCAATGCATCTGCTGAGGCTTTGATGCAAAACAGCCCTTGAGATTACTCACTCGAATAGACTGGAACTATGCATACATTGAGAAAGAGATCCTTGCCAATGCTGTATAGTTGTGAGAGGTTACTGTTAATTTAAAAAGGTACCACCAGACCTATTCCATTGAACACTGGAAACAAGCACTGACAGTTTTATTTCTGTGCCTGAGATTTTAACCCTTGATTGGAATGAATTCTGACAGTATAATTTTAATATTACAGTAACAATACTTACATTTGATATAGTGCCTTATCGCAACATCAAAACATCTCAAAGTGCTTTACAGGATTCACTGTAAAGTGCTGTTACTATATATTGTAGCTGAACGCAGCTGTCCCACAAAAAGGCATAAAGTAAATACGCATATTTATCTGAGGAATTGTTTGCCAGGACAAATGGAGAAAATCTCTTCTCTTTTTGAATAGTGCATGGGATCTGAAATGTTCACCTGGACAGGCAAATGAGACCTTGGTTTAACAACTCATCTGAAGGACAGCATATTTGACTAAAGCAGCACTTCTCCAGCAATGCACTGCAGTTATTTTAAAAAATAGTGCTGATGTGAATTATCAATGAATTCAGATGCCAAGATAATCAAGGATAAGTTGCAAAAGTTTTATGGATGTATGAATTGTACAGAAAGACATAATTACCAATCCAGATAACCTCCCAGTCTACTCCTGTTAACCCCGCAAGCCAAAGCCATAATGGGTAGCATGGTCCTAGCTGGAAAAAAGCAGGAAAGCTTCTCAGACAATGCTACCAATGACAATCTATGATTAGGTTTTAGTTGGTTAGAGTCCAGCAGTGCACAATCTAACTCTGGGGTCTCCAAGCCTTGGCTATTGCCAACCTGCACATAATACTTTTTGGAATTAAGTAAATAGGCGTGTCCCTCCATTCCAACAATCCATCTCTGGAGTTTCCATGTGAAGGTGGGATGCATGGAATTCTTGGTTTGGTTTGACTACTCTTAAGCATGGTGATGGGCTTCAACATGTACCAGACACCCAGCTGACCCTCAAAAAATTACAGATCTTATTTTCACACATACCATCTGTTTGCACATCCTCTTTTCACACAATTACAACAGACATGGTCAAGGATGTTAAAGTAGTTTACACATTTCTCATTAAAAATACTGACCCAATTCACAACAACAAAGATTACATAGAAGTACAAGTGTTCAATGGTTTTCCATTGTAACCACAATGCACATCATAATGGTCAATTTAACAAAGTGGCATCAATCTACAGTCTAACAATGTTAAAGTGATTACAAATTGATATTTCAAGCTGGCAAATTAAGACTCACTTAATATTCTCACAAAACATTATTCTTTTATCAGGAACAATTCACTCATAAAGTTTCACTGGGCATTAATCTCACAAATTGTAAACAAATGGAAAATAGTTCAGATCAGCCTAACCACAATAAATTGGAGTGTATTAAAATATTCTATTTAAATCCAAATAATTATAAAGATTTGTAAAAAAAAACCGAAATACAAGCAAGCAAATGCATGAACATTGCTAATACTCAAAGTAGCACTCAGCATTCTCTGGACAGAGAAAGCCAAAGACTGCCAGAGTTTGCAGGTACTCCTGACCAAAGCTGAAGACAAGCTTATTGAAGTTTAAAAATATTAACATGATAATATATCCTCTGTCTTCAAAGAAATGCTGCCTTCTATCTGCTTGAAAAATGCTCTGTTTATTTTGGTTCTTTTACTTGTGTCGTTGTAATTTCCGAAGCACATGCTATTAAACACACAGATTCACAGTCACCTTTTCCATATTTCTGCAGCTGATAATTTTATGATTATTGTAAGCACATAGAATAATTATTAATTTGCTGTGCTCTTTGAATAAATTAAAGTATCATGATCTTGATTTTTTGAATGACATGGGTAAATAACTGTAGTCTTCATCGAATCTTTACAAGAATTTTTAACATGTGGTTTGTTTCCACTTCAAAGCTTCTTGTGATGTCGCAGGGAATATTTGTCTCCTTCACACATCCATGAGTTTGCTCAGTGTGCGTCTGATGCTTGTGGTTAAATGTTTCATTAAGCTGCCAGGTAGGGTTCTGTCACAGTTTTGCAATTTTAATGAAGGTGACAAAATGGCTGGTTGTTCTATTTCCGCCTTGCTGAGACAGACGCACTTTAACTTCATGTATTGTGCCACAAGCTCCATTACCAGCAATTGCAATGTGTTGGTGTTAGCTACAAATTACACAGCTCCACCAAACTCCTTCAAGGAGACCTGACATTTCAAGGTGGATAGATGCTCTGAGACACATTTCTGATATCAGCCATAGGCTCAGTCACAGAATGTCAGCACTGACAGAATAGGGATCAGTGACTTTTTATTTTCATTTCTAAGTGTTGAACTTGAGCCATCAGTTATTTCCTAATCTGCTGAACACTATTGTGCATTCAGCCAGATCTGATTTACGGATTGAGTGACAGCCTTGGATTGGCTTCAGGAAATGAAAAATACATTGACCCCCAACCACCTCCGCCCCCACTATACATTCAGTGATTGAGTCCATGTCCCTTTCCCTTTAACTAATGTTTCAAATTGCTCTCTGAAATTCATCAATCAGTGAGTTAGAATATATTCAATATATTCACACAAAAATTGCATTTAAGGCACTGGAATTGTCCATTGCAAGACACATACCTCAGGCCGCTGAAACTCTTGTTCATGCCTTCACCACCTCCAGGCTTCACTATGCAAATGCCCTGCTTGTCAGCCTTCCCAACTCCTCCCTCCACAGGCTGCAGATAATCCAGAACTCTGCAGCCCGTGTCTTCTCCTGCACCAAATACCATGACCCCATCTCCCCCACTCTCGCCCGACTCCATTGGCTCCCTATCCTTTAGAGGATCCAGTTCAAAATCCTTGTCCTCACCTACAAAGCCCTCCATGGCCTCGCCCCACCCCATCTCTGTGACCTCCTAACCCCCTACCAACCCGCCCTCTCCCTCCGCTCAGCCGGCTCTGGCGTGCTCCATGACCCCCGACCCACCCGCCCCACCATTGGTGGGAGAGCCTTCAGCCACTCTGCCCCCAACCTCTGGAATTCCAGCCCCCAATCACTCCACCTCACCCCTTCCTTAGTCTCCTTCAAGTCCCACCTCAAAACCCTCCTCTTCGACCATACCATCGATCACCCCCCTTCCGCTCCCCTCCGTTCTCCCCCCCTGACCCCAGCTCAGGTCTGAAATGCTGTACACTGTCCAGCGCCTTGGGACATCCTCCCGACGTGAAAGGTGCTATACAAATGTAATCTTGTTGTTGTTGTAAGCAGCATTCAAATAATAATATTAATAATATAATAATATTAAGATGAAGTAATGAGGCTCATATTCTGTCTACGAAATTAGCTGCATCTACTGGATGTGTGGGCTGAAAGTATATTCAAACTAAACTGTAATCTTGCAAAACTAAGTCCAAACTTTCTGACTTGTGTGACCTTAAAACAGCGTGCTGTAATTTTGGCAATGAAGGTTGAGAAACAGTGTTTATAATAACCTCCAACCTCTGCCAGATCTCTAATCACATTATTGAAGTTGGAGCATACTTAAGGGAAAAAAGGGCAAATTAAAAGAGATTAGGTTCTTCCCAGATCACAGTTTCATTAAAATTTACAATGATTAAGATAAATACATTAACATCCATCTACTTTGGGCAGAAGGGTTTAATGGGGATTGCATTTGCAGCACCTTCTTTGTTCATAAAATATTGCCGTGTGAAAATCTTAGTTTCTGCAACTGTCACAGACCGCTAATCTTACCTTCATTTTCAAATATCTGTGGCATGAAAAATGTGCTTTCAGATTTGTCATTTTTTCAGTTTATGGAAAATGGATTCAGAAGAACTAATGTGCAGACATAAGTAGGTTAGTATTAGATGCCCTGAACCACATGATTAGCTGAATTATCAAAAGAATTATGGGATCAGAAAAGCATAACAACCATTAGGTCTGCTAGTGGGACAAAATGCAGATTGATTACACGATTCAGTTTTACATTAATACTAGACATAACCAATTTAGCTTGAAAAAGTAGCACACTGCAGCTGAATGGATATTTGCATAGCAAGAGACCATAAATTATTGACACTTACATAAATTCATAGCTTATAATGCATTTTGATTCTTTCAACTTGCACTTTTAACTCTCAGTAATTCATTGCATTTGTTATATTGTAAAAAAATGTTGTTTGTACCGAAATGGAGAAAATCTCAGAAGAGAAAAAGTATATTACGCAGTTGAAAAATGCAAAAGAAAAGAAGCATCAATCTATTAACTGAATGCACGTGTGTGTTTTTGTAAGAGACTGAGTGATGAAGCAATTAATGATCTCTACTTTTTTCAGCATTGTTTTATCAGTTCTAGTGAAATTTGTGGCATTTTATATTGCATTTCTTGTCATAATTGTGATGAAACACCACTAATTTGACCCCACCATTCACACTGCAGCCTCAAACTAATATAAGCATTACTTGAACAACGTATCCCATTTGTCCATTCATAGTAATCAATGAGAGTAACAAAGTTGTTCTGTTTAATGTTGCAAAGATGAAAGATCGACATAATTAGATGAACAAAGAAAAACTGCAAAAAAACACTTGTGTGCCAAAAGCTTTCTGTGATATTGAAAGCTGTGTGATAGCCATTCAGAGCTGTTTAAAGTGCAGATGATTCAGTGGTGGTAAAATGATTGCTTGAAATCTTTGAGTGTTGCTTCAAATCCCACTAAAAGCTAGGATTAGTCTGTATCTGCTTATGTTGTCAGGGGCGTCAATCGCGTGATTGTGTTAGACAAGATATTAAAAAGGTTCTTGCTTGCTCCTCTCTTACCCAGCTCATCTCTGTGCCCTCACAACTGCTCCCTGTGCCTTCAAAGTAAGAGTTCAACTGAATCTACAGGACTGAACTGTGGGCCATAATCCAGCCAGTGAGTGTGAGATTTTGTTGAATGGCTATTGTGCTGGGGTAAATTATTTATGGTGAAAACAATGGTAATGATATTGTCAAAAAGAGTTCCCAACTGCTGTTGGCTATGAGCCAGCAAAATATTGTACAATCTAATCTCACAAGATCATATCACCCAAGTTGCCTTCATGTAATTACCCAAGTATCTGTTAATGAGACACATTTTATTAATGTTCTCTTTGCCTTTGTATGTTTAGACAAGAAACTAATCAATGGTGTCTTTTCAGTAAACTGCAAAGCACGTGGGCAGAAGGGCACAGGGGAATAGAGAGGGTCGTATAAGAAACTGCCTTTCACTTTTGCAAATTTGCATTTGAATACAGCTTGTGGGCGAACAAGACAGAGATGGTTTCCATCTCATGTAGCGATCACAATTGTAATCAGTTCTAACAGTACACAGTGGCTTTGTGTCCTACAGCCACGTTGTATCCCATTGATGTCAGCTTGCCGGTCACACCTCTTCATTTTATTGATGTAAATGTACGGAGAGGAAACTTCAGCAATTTTACAATCTATTTGATTCCCAATGTATCACTGACTAACTAATATTTGGATTCCCAACAAGCACTCATTTGTCTTAAAATAGGCTCCCATAATAATCATACTGATTTTAAAAAAATTAAAGAGAATTAACAAGAACACCTTTGGATTAGACCCTTTCTCATTTATTTCTGATTCGCTATACTGCTTAGTAGTCTGATAACACAAATAAAGACACTGATTATCATTTGAGCGCAGCAGAGAGTTGTGAAGAGGTTGCGTACGAATTGGGGAGGACTGAAAATCCATTTTGACCTTGTTTCGATTTTATCACCAAGAATGAAATTCTTACTAATTGTCCTCAAAATAGCATGGATCATTGCTTCAGTGATTAAAAAAAAGCATTATTCGGAGGCTGGCTTCATGCTGCGATGAATCTGAAGGTGTCACAATATTTACAAAATGTGGCTGTCAATCGCAGTCCTGCCTGCTTTAGTGCTTTGATATTTCCTCTTGCGGTCATTCTGACCCACTCATTGCATTGGGAAAGTTGGTTAACCTTATTTTCAGCTCCGTTAGAAACTGTAGGTGTATGTTTGGATATTGGTATCTCAAACCGGGATTTACATTTTTTCACCAGCCAAATGACCCCCCAAAAATGCAGCAAAATTCTGCATGTGTCAGAAAAAAATGTCTGGCAGATGAGGAACTCACCGACATGTTTAAGAGTATACAAACCAGACCGAGAGAACCATGTATGGCAACTACTCATGCAAAATCCCATGTTTCAATTGGAATGCACCCTCTCTCCAGAGGGATGCTTATCTTATTCTGGAGAGTAGCAGGCATAGATTGGCAAGAGCCAAGGCTTGGGACTCCCAAAGTGTGCATTGGTGTACTTTAACCAGTTTAACCAGCAAAAAAACACATCCCGTTGTTTGTCCAGCTAGCCATTAGGGTTTTGATTTGTTGGGGTAACAGGAGCTGAGTGGAATGAAGCCATGCCTCTCCAATGCCAATCTGCCCCTCCACCTCCTGCCAACAAGCCAGACTGGCTGGTCTGTCATCAGTGGTGCCCTGTAGTACTGGGAACCCGGACTCAGGAACCAGGCTATCAAGTCTGCCAAAGAGGACTACCTTCATTCCAACATTCTGTTCCTAAGCATGTCACCTTCGAGTCAGTTCAGCTCCAAGGAGACGCTGGTATGACCTCCAGTAAAATAGTGTAATATAATTCATGGTGGTCATTTTATTTGTATGGATCTTCATACAGAAGGTTCCATTTATGACAATACATGTCAAGCCTTAATACTTTGTAAAATTCAAGTCCACTTGTATGCAACTTGAATGTGTCTAATAGATTTTACACGAAAGTGTCCTGCTGATTTTTTAAAGGTTACACGTGGGTGTGGAGAGAGCAGGAGCCTTATTGGAGCAAATTAGGTTCTCTGGCTACACGCTGTGTGCCCAATTGGCTGCTGTGTTTCGGCCACAAAGTTTAGACTATTCACTTTATGGTATATTATTATTATTAAGAACTCTGCTTTAGAAGAACTCATAGGAGTGGATTTTTCACAGGTAGGCAGGATGTATTTCTAGTTACCGAATGGAGATTCAATTTGCGTGACTTAGATTCCTTATTAAGGATTCTCATAAAAAATTGCATATTTTAGTCTATTATATTAGCCTCATCTTAAATTGTAGGCACAGTTAAGGGTGCTAATAAGATGGTTGCCCTGAAATCCCTTGGTTTTTGTGATATAGTGATACCACCCCACCCCTACCTGAGGGAGCACTGATTTCACAAGAAATTATTGTGTGCATGATAATTTGATTCTATCACATTCAATTTTGTGTCAGCGTAAAAATTTAATTTTTCACATGCACAATAATTTCAAACAAATGCAATTTTGTATTGTATAGCTGGTAAGTCTATTGGAGAATGTTGGGGGTGAAATTAGAAACATTTCAAAATGTGTTCATATCAAATGGATTACCAAATATCATGAGTTTTTTTCCCAGGGTCTGTAAACTCCACATCTGTTACAAAAATGAATATAGAAGCATTCAAGGAGATAGATCCTAGATCTGACTTGTCACATATAAATCTTTACTATAAACCGGTAAGCCAGATGTTGAANTTTTTAGAGTGGACTGTGTACATGTTGATATGCGAACGGCAATAATCTGTTTGATACTGGCAGCTGTATCTTGCACTCTCTTTGAACCAGGGTAAAGGTTATATTGAACATAAATGCAAAAGCTGATTTTTATACATATGTGAGTCTGGATTCTGGCTTCTCTTCATTCATTAAACCTGCAATGAGCAAACCGAGGGGAAGTAAGATTGTTCATAGTCGTTTATTTACCTTACCACAAGAGAACAGTTTGCTCTGGTAAAATATAAAATCTTATTTTGACCAACAAGTGTCAGGGGTAGGAATCAGAAGTTAGAATCTTTTCATAAGGTCACTGGTGGAAATGTGCACCATTACCACTTGTTAGTCTGTATAGGATATAATAAGACTGGTGTGGTAGCCAGATACACATTATCCTGTTAATCTTCTCTGCTGTAAATATCCACATGATTTATGTATGTGCCTTGTAATCTAAAGTAAATGCAATGTCCTTTTATGTCCTAATGTCCTTACTTTGTGCCATTCACTTTGCCACCTCAATGTTTGCACAGATGTTAGATGCCTGTTAATTGTGTTCTCAGCTTTCTTTTATTTAAATGTTAATGAGAATGTAATTACTCTATGAATACTTCAACAACCTGGGGGGAGCTTGATATCGTTATTAGGAACTTGACAAGCTCCTTGAGTCTTGTAATGAATTAGTGAGCTGACCACATGGGAAGAATAAAATGGTTTGAGCCTTCAAAAGTGACACTAGATGAATTCACTTGACCCCCTGCTATGTGGTAGTTGTCATATCACAGAAAGTAAAATTGCTTCTAATAATCAACCAGAACTAAAAGTTTGACCAAAGTACCAGCTTGAAAGTGTCATAAAATTCCCTTCATTAGTTTATTCTTCTTCTCAGCCTGCTTTCTTTAAACATTTCTGTACCAATAAGTAGGTTGTCTAAGTAATTTAGTAATCATTTAAAAAAGATTGAATGCTGGCTGTTTGAAAGATTGATTTCTTCTTTGGTAATATATGCTTGATTATATGTATCATATGAAATTCAATTTTCATTTTCATGATCTATGATTGCGGTTGATGTATACCTCTATAAAACTTTATTGAACAAAATGCTCCCAATGGTTTCACAGGATTTTCAGGATTCATTTTATTCAGAAAATTCTGGAACAGAAAAAAAATCATTTAAGTTATATTAAATAAAAGGTTAAGAAATAATAGGAAATAACATTATGGGATATAGTACCTTGGTAATTTGGGACATATATGCATGCAACCTCCAGGAAGGTGGAAGGCGAACTCAATGGACCTTGGTCATTTTTTGTTCAGCGTTTCTCATGTTCTCATGTTCTTAAGAACCCCTTTCCCCACATGACAAAATTATTTTGCAAAAGGTTTTACTTTACTAACTCTGACATAATAATTCTGCTTTCTTAAAGCAAGCTATAATTTAAAACGTTCTTAATAATGTACTACAACTGCAACAGATTTTCAAATTAATAATATAACACAATGGAACATGCTACACATGAGTTGGCACTGACACTAATTGTTATATCATTTATTGCCTATAGGTAAATAAGAAAAACACAAAGTAATGTGAAGCTTGGTAGCAGGTGTTACCTTTTTCCTTTATTCTGCTTTTTCAGTTTATTTGTATCCAAATTGTCATTTCGCTGTTTAACATGGTATGTCAAATGAACTATGCATTTGCCCGCTAATTTGGCAGATGTTTGATCTCCAATTGGAGCACTAATTTAAACATTTTAAGCTTTCGATTTCAAGCAAGTCTTTGGATTGGCATGAACCCACCTCTGACTTGGATCCGAGACCAAGACTAATTTGGAAACTTGACCACCAAAGGTGCACATTTATTGTACATCTCACTTTATGCTGTGAACACTGGGAGACCCTAGTTCCCCATAACACGCTGTTGTTTTAGCAGCACTGAATCCTAGCACTATCAACTAATAACAGCAGCAGCTACAATATGCTGGTGAAGAGATACAGAGTGTGGGCTAGAATGAATAGAGATTGAGAATCAAATGTACAAGACTAAACAAAGAACGGTAGGCAGATCGGTAGTTACTTCCTTCCCTTCAGATTATTGCATGCAGATACGTTTGACAGTACCATAACAAAAAGTAAAGCTGAATACGGTAGAGAAACAAAAGAAATGTTTAATCCAAAGCAATATTATTTACGTTACTCTTAACTTCTGTCCATCTATGTCCCTATATTTGCAAGCTCTCTTTCTCTGTCATTGTTTTCAGTTATATCAGTCAGTAAGGTCTATCATAAACTGAAACCTATTCTCAACAAGAAAACAAACACCTTATTTTAGTGATGAGGCATGATAGCCCCATCTAGCTCTGTTCTGCCTTGGTTCTATCTGTGACTGATATTCAATCATCTTTCAGTCTACCTCTTTTAATATTCCTGGATTTATTTTCAGGTCTGCCAGAGATACTTTCCCATAGGTAAATAATAATAATCCTTGCATTTGATATAGTGCCTTATCACGTCTTTGAGATGTCTCAAAGGGCTTCACAGAATATACTGTAAAGTGAATTGACTGTATATTTTGTGGGCGAAAAGTGGCAGCAAATTGTGCACAGCAGTGTCCCATAAGCAGCTGTGGATTGAGTGACCCATTTTTTTTGAGGGATTATTACCCCGGGAAAAGCGATCCGCCAATCGACTAACAACTGGGTTAATACTGCTAGGAAAACAGAGGCGTGTGGAGTAAGGAAACTTGTAGTACTTAGAATGTAAAACAATTTCACAAATTTAAACAATGTAACCAAACCTAAATGGCACAGCTGAGTCCTGCTGATCTGCATTCATACATTTTTGAATCTGCTTATCTCAGGCAGCTCCAGCTGAAACATTGATGCTTTTTCTGTGTCTCTCTTTCTCATTTGAACCCAAATCTCTTTCCTTCCAGAACACCACAAACGTACTGCATACAGAAACCTTATATGGAGAGACAAACTCATAAATGATGAACCACTTCAATGCAAAGTGTGAATTGGCAAGCAATTGTACAAGTGGAGTGGGCTCTCGGTTATTGGAATTCAGTGGTCTAACTGCTGGCTAGTCAACACCGGTTTGTATTCTCAGAACATATCTCAATGGTAATACTAATAACTTCCATATATGTAGCATGTTTTATATAAAATAAATGTCTCAAAGTATTTAATGAAAGTTGTGGGTTTGCTCCAAAAATCTCTTTAAACTCAAATTGTTGTTATTCTCTTTAATTTTTGGTGAATTTTGTGCTCATTCTTAAAAATGTTATTAATGCTAGGAATACATTCCTTCACAATTTTCCAATGGCTAATCAACCTGAGCGTATTGGTCACCATATTGTCCATCTCTTAAAGATAGTTTCATACCATGAAATCAGTCTCCAGTTACTAGCTCTAGTCTGTCTAAGCATCTCCAACCAGTGGAAGCTATCTTTCCATCTGTTTGGGCTAGATTTTCAATGAGGTTCCAGGACTGAAAAGTTCAAATCCACTACAGCATCCAAATTATTGCAGTGTCTTCACTGATAGTATCCAAGGCTTCTGGTCAGCCTGAAATAGAAATAAACATGGAACAATGCTTGAAGTTTGCAACCAGATTATTTCTTGATCACAGCAAAACATTTTCATCCGAGCAAAATAGACTTTACACTGTGGCGCAGCATTACAGTAGTAATTTGACCACTACAGCTATTTGGTGGTAGATGCTGCAGTGTCAAACAGATAAATACATGTTATAATCTTCTCATGCTTTAATTAGCATCTTATTCCATAGTCTAGTGTAGAAACTGCATACTCCAAAAATCCAACCGTATTAGGAGTTATTTTAGTAATTTCCATAAGACCATCATTTAACATGACTATTTAATTGTACATTAATATGCACCTGAATTAAAAACATAAAAGGTGTAACAGGCAATACGATACCATATTCTTTTCCTTCTATCAAAACACACTGGGATTTCATGAATATGATAATTTCCAGGACTCCATTGTTTTTAAAAAGATGTTTGTAGGTGAAATTCTCTGGAGTGGCAGAACTGACAAACTATTTAATTAAAACATTTTTGAACTGCAATGCCTAGACATCTGTTAGATTTTGCTTGCACAGTTGTAGCTTTCTGTTATCAAAATGTGAAATTAACCCTTTTACTGAAAGCATTAACCTTACCATAGTTTTGATTAAATAATAACTGATATAGTAATAATTGATATAGTGACTTGTCACGTCTTCGAGACATCCAAGAGCGCTTCACAGAATACACTGCAAAGTGTAGTGACTGTGTGTTTTGTAGGCAAAGTGCGGTAGCCAATTGTGCACAGCTGTGTCCCACAAACAGTTGTGGATTGAGTGACTAAATTATTATGAATTTTTTTAGGAATTATTACTCCAGGAAAGCAATCCACCAATCAACTAACAAGCAGATTCCTACTTACTGCTCGGTAAACAGAGTTGTGTGTGCAGAGTAAGGAAACTGCCTGAGGTTTTGCCTCCCTGGGAATCGAACCCGGGTCTTCTCGCTTGTGAGGTGAATGCTTTAACCACTAAACTACAGGACTCCATGTAACTAGATAAGCTCCTCACCCCACAAACATTGCCTACTCTTGCCTTCTCAGAACCACTCTCTCTCCTTAAAGATCATTATCCTCATCAGGCAGGGTGGGCTCTGAGGCAGCCTGTAACTCTCGTATTGATCAGCGAGCTGCGTGTCCATCTGTATCTCAGGGAAAGCGAGCACCAGCTTCCTCGCAAGGCATAGGAAAGGCTTCTCAAAGTTATAGTTACTCTTAGCTGAGATGTCTGTAATAGCTGCATTACTTAGCTGTAATACTGCAGGTTTTTCTTGCGTTGGAAGACGATGGATTTGGCTTTGACCTTATTGTCCTTGATATCGACCTTGTTACCACTAAGCACGATGGGAATGTGCTCACACACTCACACCACAACAACAACAAGATTTTGTTTATAGAGCGCCTATCATGTCGGGAGGACTTCCCAAGGCGCTGGACAGTTGGGTCGGGACCTGAGCAGGGGGGAAATGGTCAGGGTGAGGGAAGGGAAGAAAGGGAGTGAGGAGGGGGTAGAGAGTCGAGAGGGGAGCTGAAGACACGGTCGAAGAGAAAGGCCTTGAGACCGGCCTTGAAGGAGGAAAGGGAGGAAGCAAGGCGAAGGCACTGGGGGATAGAGTTCCAGACCCTAGGGGCTGAGAGGCTGAAGGCCCGGCCACCGATGGTAGGGCGGTTGGGGCGGGGGATGTGGAGCAGACCGGAGCCAGAGGAACGGAGGGTACGGGCAGGTAGGTAGGGGGATAGTAGGTCGGAGAGGTAGGAGGGAGCAAGGCCGTGAATGGCCTTGTAGGTGAGGATGAGGATCTTGAAATCGATCCTCTGGGGGATGGGGAGCCAGTGGAGGCGAGCGAGGGTGGGAGTGATGTGGTCCCGAAGCCTGGTGCGGGACAGTACACGAGCTGCAGAGTTCTGAATGACCTGCAGCTTGTGGAGGGAGGTGGCGGGAAGGCCGGCGAGGAGAGAGTTCCCATAGTCCAGCCTTGAGGTGATAAAGGCTTGGACCAGTTTCAGCAGCGTGAGGGGTGAGGTAGTGCCGTAGTCTGGCGATATTCCGGAGGTGATGGAAGGCGGTGCCAGTTGTGGCGCGGATATGAGCGAGAAAGGACAGCTCAGGGTCGAACAGAACCCCGAGGTTCCTGACTGGCTTTGAGAGGTGGAGAGTGCAGCCTTGGATGCTGATGCTATCAGCGCCTGAGGTGCGGAGGCGCTGACGTGAGCCAATCAGGAGGGCCTCAGTTTTTCGCACGTTGAGCTGAAGAAAGTTGTCTCTCGTCCAGGACTCGATGTCGGACAGGCAGGCTGTCAGGACATCGGTGGTTGTGGAGTTGAGGGTAGAGGAGGAAAGGTAGAGTTGGGTGTCATCCGCATACATGTGGAAGTTAACACCATGTCTGCGGATGATATCACCAAGGGGGAGCATATAGAGGGTGAAGAGGAGGGGACCGAGGACAGAGCCCTGATGGACACCGCACGAGACAGTGCGGGGCTGGAGGAAAAGCCGTTTGTGGAAACAAAATAAAGACGGTGGGAGAGGTACGACCTAAACCACTCAAGGACAGGGGTTGAAGGTTGAGGTGGGAGGACAAGTTGTGGAGGAGGATAGCGTGGTCGACCGTATTGAATGCAGCCGATAGGTCGAGGAGGACGAGGAGGCAGAGGGAGCCCTGGTCCAATTGGGGATGTTTTTGTATGTGACATGATACATAACGTCAAACATAATAATAGCACATTGTGCTCATATGTGGTAACCATCTCTCAAACCCCAGAATTTTTCTTGGCCTCCTGTGTCCCAGACATTAAACTTCACCTCACCTCGGTTTGTGTGAAATTTAATAGAACGAACTTCCACTCCAAGGGCAGTTACATATTTCTTCTAAAACTCTCCTGTGATGTGCCTCTTGATAAACATTGTCTTTCCAGTGCCTCCATCTCCCACCGGAACAAATTTAAACTCCAATGCATTAGTTGAAATTGGTTGTGCTAAACATTGTACAATCTTACAGTGCCTCAGTTTTGCCCAGCCTAAGATGTCCAATGAACAAAGATGAAAAAGGATTGAGAAAAATGATGCAAGCCTGGCAAAAAGTTATCCGCTTGTTTTATATATATGATTAATTTTGATGCAAACGTTTCACCCACAAAATATACAATCAATTCCCTTTACAGTATATTCTGTGAAGCACTTTGAGACATCTCGAAGATGTGATAAGGTGTTATATCAAATGCAAGGATTATTATTATTATTTAATGTGAATATCACTTTCTTATCTGGGTAGTTTTGCTTCAATGGATAATTAGCCAGCTAGATTAAAACTTCTGTTCTTTTCAGCCTCTCTTTTCATTGAACTCCTTTTGTCTTTCCAGTGCCTGTCTTTCACTGTCTACAGTTACAGGGACAAGCTCTTAAAATATGTCCTAAGTTAGCCGCTTAGCGACCTACATTCAGCAGCTTTTGTCTTCCCTAAGCAATGTTTTCACCTAACAGTTGAGTTCACTTGTAAATCTGATTTCTTTTTCATCACATTGAATCCTGAGTGTCTAATTTCCCTACAATGGTGGAACTTGCATCAAAGGACTCATCCAGGAAATTGATTTTCCTATCAGACAAGAGAGCTCTTTTATTCAAGTCATGAGACTGAGAATTTATTTCCCCCCAGATCATCCAGCTAATGACCTGCTTGTAAGCAAAAAAAATGAAGGTTATGATATAGTTATGGTGCAAATTTTCAATAGGTCAAAGTGATATGTCAGAATCCTCTGTAGTGTAACATTTCTAAGATATTTGATGATATAGTGCAGTAGCATAGATTTATTGAGAGCAATGTTTACAAATGTAGGAACAATCAGACTTCCATTTGGTAGAGATGTGTGCTGAATTGAATCTGTTCGGAACAGCTAAATCCAAACTTGCCTCAGTGCAACTGGGTTTGATCAGGTTGTGATAGATCTTGGTACCTTTTTAAAGCTGGGGAGACTTCCCCCGTTGCTTGGTGGGTAAATGTGTCCTGAACCACACTGAACCGTATATATTAAGGAAAGTCCCAAATTCAATCCCAAGCCTATGTGGATTTAACACTCCTCTGGCTTTGGCACAGTGATTGGTCTAAATATACAATTAAGGAGAACAACAGACAGGATCATATAAAATTTTGATACCTGCTTCAAGATTGTGACCTGTGAGGTTGTAATTAACTAGTGTTAATTATTACTTCATTTCCTACTGAATATTAGATACCAAAGCTAAATTTACAGAGGAAAGAAAAGTAGGAGCAGCAATAAAGCTTTCTGACTTCATTTTATTTAAATTGAACTTTTCAAGAATTACCAGATATACCAAGAGTAAATATTTCCCCAATTAATAATTTCTTTTCAAACAAGTGTTATAGAAAATTCACTTTCTTGTTCACTGATCAAACACTTTCTATCATTGTCCTTCACTTTTGAATGTAACAAATGTTTCAATTGAAATTGCTCTTTGAGTGTGGAGTGCCCAATTGTAGATTACTTGTGAAAGGATGACTATGCCAGTATGGTTCAATCAATCATTTGCTTCATTAATCCACAATACAATACAAATATAAAATTGCAT